AGTTTCGTATGAAGATTCGTGGTCTGCAGTCACCAGAACGTTGGCCAAATCATTCGTGTTGCGCATGCGCACGTAGATTGGAACACGGAACGCCTGTAATTCTGTGCGACCTTTTCATGACAAATATCTGACTCGTTCTTTAGATGTACTGGCAATGCCCCACATTATTCGCCGCAGAAAGTGGCGTAACCTACGATAAGACCTACCCAGCCTTCATGAACTCTAAAATCTGGCCGTACCTCGAAGTCGGTGATGATCCGGTCCGCCGCTGGCATACAATTGTGGCTTCGTATACCAGGCTGAACCTTACTTATGCAAACGATCGGTTACCGGCGATCGCTGCTATAGTCGAACGAGAAATGCGGCTGCGACCAGACGATACATATATTGCTGGTATTTGTAAAAGCAGTCTGCTCACCGACATCAGCTGGCAGCGCGGAGGCTTCTTGGATGATGGTTTTCCTGTCGCACGTCTGGGTGAACATGTTCCGACGTGGGCGTGGCCAACCTCAAACACCAAGGTCCATTGGTTTAAAGGAAAGATTGAGCGGTCTGTGAAACTAGTCGACCTTTCCTTTACCCGCATTGGGCCGGCTCAGGTTGGGCAAGTTCTGAATGCTAGTATTACTTTGGAGGGTCATACATACAAGACTCGGCTGACGCAAGTCTGTCATCCTGAATACAACGGGCTTCAGCCTCGTATAGAGCTAGTCTCTCCTGCATGCGAGGAATTCAACAAGGTCACTCACTACTTGTTAGAGGACTTCGATTGGAGGACTGGAGACCGGCGTGTTAGAGCGGGAGACACCTTGCTTGTTATGCCGATCAAATTCTTCGGAGACCGTAGGAATCCTTCTTCGTTTGGAATCCTTCTGTATGAGGTCGCCAACGGCGATTTTGAAAGAATGGGAGTTCTCGAACTCAGAATGAAAACCGAAGCGGAAACGTACGGGGTAGAAGCTGAGCAGATACTCAGAAATTTCATCGACGCGCTACCCATACGACAAGTTAAGATTATCTGAAGAGCAGGTAACGGGCTGCGTACCTCTTTGGGTCAGCGAACTCTCCGCGCTCTCGAACTTCAACGACATCGTCTCACCTGAACCAACGTCATGCGAGACCCTCTATACTCACCATGAACATGTCTTATCTGGTCATTACGCGCACCTGGAAGCGTACGCATACCTTCATTCATGTATAAGAGAGGATATGCATTCTAAGCCCTATTGATGGACCGAGTTTCTTCGTTGAAAAGCCGCATCTTCAGCACTCGCTTAAGTTCTTGCAGGTTGCATATAACTCTATGTATCCTGAGAAATTTCCCTCTTTTGCCAGCCGGCTGTTGTCTCGAAGATCATCATGTCCAATCATGAGCAAGTTCGGCATGGTGCTGAAATTGTGCACTCAGTCAGCAAGTTTGCTCTCACCTGCAGATTGGGCTTGCGATCATGTTTGCGACGATACCGCAACGAAGCCACCTTCACCTGTACTTGCCAGACCCTGTAAATCTCGCTCACCTTGACTATCGCCTTCCGCGCCCGTCATCGCCTTTAGTCCACTTTTCGCATGCCAAAACTTCTACTCTACCTCTTGCGACCTACAAAAAGCGAGCGCAAAGATGGTGGAGCCGACGGTCTTGCCGCGCAATCTAGCGTAGTAAGTTCATCGAAAGGGTTCATTGGCCAGACTAACCAGTTTTGACAGTATCGACACCGCGAAGTTGAACAGGCATGTGAAGAAACTTCATGACGCGGACACCTTCACGCCGGTTATGATCGCACAGTCGCAATCGCACGCCTCTGCTCTCGCCGAGAACATCTGCTCTGATTACAAGCTTCTCAACAACACTATGGTTCGACACGAACCATTGATTAGGAAGAGATGGAGCAAGAAGTCGGTCGCTCAAAGAAGTGAGATTCTGCGAGCTGCCTGCCCAACAATCGCTATGGAGCACCAACCGGACTTCGCTTGGCGACACCAAAATATGTTGTTCGAAGAGGGCGCTGGTCCGAAGCCCAAGGAACACGTCGACGTAATGCTTTGGCCATTCATCAATCTGGAGGATCTTACGAAGCCGAAGTCCTTACTCATCTACCTGAACTCGAGGGCCCGCAATCTACCATGGACCTTTGCGACGGGTGAGGTTGCTTTCTCTCAGTATGGCGTCCTATGTTCCAGTTGTAAGCCGCGTGAGATGTTGGCGACTGTACACTTCATGCCCAATAACGACCCTACAGTATATGGCCAAGTTCGGAGAGTCCATGGCTGCTGTGGTCAAGTCGACGGGGAGATGATTCATTGCGATCTCATTCAAGGCTTGCAGATGTTGAAAATGCAGCAGCGCATCATGAGATTTCTGGTTTCATGTTGCCGATACATCTTGCACGACATGACAGAGGAGGAGATGCTGTCCGGACCAGTCTTGGAAGAGCCGCCAGTCTCAGAAATCCTCTTGCCAGTGGATGGCAGTCATGTCAATCTCGCCGACACCATCGCGATAGCGCCCTATATCAAGCGAGGGGATCTGGAACTTGCCAGACTTCGAGGCTACGTCAACGCGATGTACAGCGAAGCTAAGGATCATGTACTGTCTCTACGAGAAGATCCCTCCTATCTTGCGGACACAATTATCGACAATTCGGAACACAGCCGTGAGCTTATCCCGGATGCATGTGGTCGAATCGATCAATCTGTTGATACTCCAGAGTTTCTTATGGGTGTCACAGGTCACATAATCTCACAGTCATACCAGAGGCTGATAATGTGGTCCGAAGTCTCGGCAAGACTAGATCAGCTTTGCCTGCACGCCCAGAACGGTACCGCTACCCAGAATCAGCTACAGAGTGTCCTTGATCTGGAGGCGCTACTTGAGCGCGCCCGAAGTTGCCTCTTGGGAGACGTCACTAGCACCAGTATGGCGTCACCCACGATGCGGAACTACTATGAACGCATAGTTTCTGGATCAGGAGATGGTCCATATACACAGATCGCCATCGCAGGAGGAGACACACTTCCAACGGAGGGCGAAGCATGGATGCTGAGCGTGTTTCATCGTCTGCTGGCTTTCAGTCAAAACGACTCTCGGAAGAACATCAATGGCTTTGCAGAGATGTCTGGGGGTGAGAAACTCAACGTTGACATTGATCTACACGCCACATTGGACCGTCTAGACACTCTTTCACGCAAACATCAAAGCGCGCGCGCTATGCTTACCGCCCCTTTGTCGTCTCTCATCAGCCAGCTCTCCATTGTCGAAGAGTGTCTTCATCAGATTGAGTTATGGAAGAAGTCATCGGAAATCTGGATGTTACTTTGCACATCCGGTATGAAAGCCACAGAGTCGAACAAGGGAGCCTTCTCGATAAATTGGGCTTATTACATCTATGCCTATAACGTACCCGTCTATTTGGTCAACCCAGCGCGAGGAAAGCTACGCTATCCCATCGATAAGCCGCGAAACGCTCAGAGCGTGAAGACGATGCGAGACTCGGAATCAAATCTTGACAAGTTCTGGAGTTGTATCGACTCTTTCTACGAGCGCAGGACGGGTGTTGCGCAAGATGAAGTGGTACGTCGATGCCTCCTGGAGGGTGGTGAGATGCGCCGAACTGCTCCGTGGACTGGCCCAAGCGTTCCCACAGAGTGCTTCAAAAGCATCGAGTACAAAGCCATCAGCAACTACGACCACGATGTCGCACTACAGATTACCGGAACCTTCGATAAGCCGGTCACACGGGGTAGTGCCAAGCGAAAGAAGCGCTACCATGCTCCTGTGGGCATCACGCCGATGACTCAAGTTCACGAGATCGGCCATCCAAGCCCCGAGAAGAAGCCCGAGAGAATCTACTGCGTCGACAAGCGTGCCCACAAGGTGTTCAAGACCCTCTTTCATGTCCCTCTTTCAGATCTTGGAGAGACACCGAAAGCGATCAAGTGGGACGACTTCAAGCGCGCTATGATTCGAGCCGGCTTCTCTGCGGAAAAGCTTCAAGGCTCAGCCTGGCAGTTTACTCCTAGTGTTTCTACGGATGTCGCTCGTGGCATCCAGTTTCATGAGCCACATCCCGATAGCAGTATCCCCTACATCATGGCCCGGCGTTTTGGCAGGAGGCTTCAGAGGGTATATGGCTGGCATGGTGGTGTGTTCAAGTTGGCTTGAGTGGGAAAAGACGCTAGGAACGGAAAAGTTGGCCGAGGGAGGGTTGCAGATCGTGCGACACATCCACACACGCGTGCAGAGGTGCTTTACTTCTCGTTGCGATGGGTTTCTTTTCTTTCTATTTGGTTTATTCGTTCCAGTTCTGCATGCATGGCTACATTTCTCAACGTTCGAGTCTGAGACTCACACGCCGCAAAGAATGCGCACAGGCTATCCAAAGTTCATCATCACATTTATGTCGAGGTTCGGTATCGGGCCACCAAAACAAAGCAAATCCAAAGTTTCATTATAGCCTCCATCTTATGTGAAGAGCCTTCGCATCAGTCTACTAGATCATTTCCCCCTCAAAATGTGTCCGACCTTTTAATAGTGACATGCTCGTCGTACCTTCTTCAATAGTACCACCAACTCTCTGGATGCACTGCGATCTCATGCGCGCCAATCGCCATATTCTCGAGACAAAGCTCTCCGACCTCCTGGTTCAGCTGTGCATCATTCGTGTTCTCACTGAGCAGCCGTAGGCTACGGATATGTCGGACTGGAGCTTCACCAGGTTTGCTCAACTCGAGGACGTAACTCGCCACCTAGAGAAAGAGCTTGGACGCGGTATGATGACTTGGCAACGCCAAAGAAGCGTTGCTAAGGTCAAAGGTATGAAGCACACTGCAGTCTGCTCCAGTCGCGTGTGGATATAGGTGATACCTTTGCTGAGAGCAGGTGCAGCGCGCGTCAATGCTCACCGAACCAGGAGCCTTCTATACGTAACTGCCGCAAGTCCCAAGTCGTATCCCTCACGCCGATCAGCCTCTATTGTCCACTCGACCAAAAGATGCCTATCGCGCTATCGTCCCAACATCCCGGGATACATCGCGTCGATAGATACGACACTGCAGCTAGCGCTTTTGACTTCATGTCCCTTCGCCATGGTGAGCGCGACTGGTGAAACCAATGATGTGGCCTCTCTCGACAAGCGCCATTCAACTGGCACATTGTGTTGCAAGCTCTCAACTTCTGACACCTGACTAGACGTTGGTTCTCGGATGTTGAGTTGGCGCTCCAAATCCGACGCGGGCGTTAGGTCTGAGCGGCTAGAGTTCGTACGATCTTGGATGACGCGAACGATTTGACTGAGTACTGCGAACTCAGTTTTAAGCTTGAAGCTGTAAACAAGGGATTTAAAAGTCGTCTGTATCATGTAGAGGTTCAAAAATTCCGTCGTAAGTAGCGCAATATCCAGTATCAGCAGGAGTATGCTCATTGCGACGAGCTGCCACATCCACTTCCTAGCCTTTCCGTCGAAGATTACACGCATCAGCTTGCGAGTCTCCCAGAGGTAGATGCAGGATATCGAGATCTCCTGGATGGTGAACATAGTCATTTGTATCTTTTCCATGACCATGTAGCCGCGGAGATATCGCTCGGGGTGGTTGGTGAACAATCGTAGATTCAGGACTACGGTCGGCACGCAAAGGCATACTGCTGAAACAATGATGACCCAAAAGATGAATCGCAGAAGCCGGAGGTTCGGCGATATCAAGTGTAAGCGCGAGTACAGAACCATGGATTGTCCGGGTACCATCAATATCCATCCGAGCGTAAGGAGCGTATTGTAAAGGCGAGGGTCATGCGCAACCCTGTTTTGTTTCATCCATGCACCTGGAGACTCAGTTAGCCATCACCAATGCAACTCTAATAGCTTCTGCCTACCTGTCGCATACGGCACAATGCTAAGTGTGTTAACTATCAAACTCCAGAAGTATAGACCAGTGTACCGTCTGAATACGACGAAGATGAGGATGATGAGCTCAATCGAGTTGTACCACGCGATGGCTGTGAAAGCTGTCATTGCCCGAGGAAGAACGCGATTGGTGCCGAACACGTCGAAGTTGGCGCCGGTGATGCCATTGGCATTGGTGACGTTCACCATCTTGTCGAGATTGCTATGTAACTGGACTTGAAGCTTTGATCGAGTGTTCCACACACCACATTATACTTCGTAGATGATAAGCCCGACCTTTCCATCGACCGAACGGAGTGTGTGATATTGAAGCCACCGGCGCAATGTAAGCATGTGTAAGCATCGTTGGATCTGGTCTAGCGTCACCGCATACCGCTATTTTTGTGTTACGTGTTAGCCATGTATGGCTGCCAACACCAGATAGGTCAGAAAAGGCGCGCGAATCGATACTGGGTATCGGAGTACTAGATCGTGAAGATACCGTGCTGTGCTGGCTGACACATCGACGTGGCTGCTGCGTGGAGATGGAAGCGAGCACCTACCAGCCTATGCGGCAGCCCGAAACGCTATGTTAAGCCTCTCGAGACCATCTAACTCAGGAAGGCCGAACCAAAGCTAGAGGTTAGACAAATCGTTTGAATCCTATACTTCAAAGGTTGTAGGCTTTACGAAGCTATACTGATAATCAACGTGGGGTGGGGCAAAGGATGCTGCAGTGAAGCAGGCAAGACGCGATGGCCAAAGAGGCCGCGAAAATTGGCGAACAGTATGAGTGTCTGCACATGGAAGCGCGCTTGGTTGTTTGTATGCGTTGTAGGTCGACGTGCATCGCGATGGACGGTGGGATGAGGATCGCGTCGCGTCGCGTGTCAGGAACGGACACATGATTACTCAGATATGACGTAATACTCGATCCACAACGAAACTCCAACGCGTCTCTCCAGCCACCCCATCTCAAACACCTTTCACACGACGACGCCATCCCCAGATCCTACAACTCGTTGCCGCTATTTCCATCCTGAGAATGCCCGAATAATCGAGTTGCCGTAAGCGAAGTGATAATGGGCCGCACGCGTCGTCTCATAGCGCGCTTTGTCAGGCAGCGGGAGAAGAAGGGCATCATGCCAATGGATCACTGTTGAGAGTCTAAGCCTAGATATCTTGATCGAAGTGCTTGAAATCCTAGCTGCCTGGCTACAGTTATCCCTAAGCCACCCATACGCAGGTGTGTGAGCGGGAAGTTTCTAATTGTCCTGTTTATCTTTACACATCACCAGTCTCATTCCATGTCATCTGCGGATCGCGTCTTCAAAGGCTATCGCACCTTCTTTTGTATTCCAGTGCGTCGGCAATCAGATCAAGAATAGTAGCATGTTTTCTACCGTCCTACGAGCTACAAATCGGCGTCGTCACTATCTCTACTACAAGGTTATCCTTTGATCATCTCAGGGCTGCCTAGAAAGGGCAAAGACGCGATCCTCGAGCGCTGTCTCGCCTGTGAGATGCGCGGGTATCCCAAGGCTTGACGTCAGAGACATGTGTCTGCATCTTTTCCTCCCTCTTTCCTTTCTTGAAGCTATCGCTTTAATGGCCGCTTGTGTATGGTGACTTACTATTGTCGATGACAAGTCATAGCTTCGTGCCTCGCACTTCTGATATTCTACGAGCGCTATCTCTGATTGGACATTGCTGGATCTTTACGCCTGTAATATGCAAATTTGGGTGGTACACGTTCGCACGTTTTGCCATTATGACGCATTCACCTGGGATCGGTCACGCATACAAATCACTGGCTTAATGAAAGTCGGTATTCAGTCGCTGCAGCCTTATAGATCCCTGTCGCACGCAATATCTTGGCCAAAGCGTCGCTCTCACGACCTTCCAGTCACACTACCCCGCTCCGTCATATCACACCGCGAGTCTGACCCAGCTTCTTGCAATACTACTCAATTCCTCTGCCAGATACCTCTTTTTCCTTTGACCTGTATCATCCTACAATGGCTACCACAAAGTCCGCCCCCGTCTTCACCCCTGAAGGCTCCTTGTCCCCTCAGTTGGTTGAGTATCTGGAGGCTATGGAGGAACGCATCGTCTCTCGCCTACTCGCCGCGCTCCGCCCGATGTATGAGGGTGGCGCGCTGGAACAGACGCTCACTAAGATGGTACCGGTCGTCGTTGCTTCTGTCCAGGACGCAATGAGCGCCGCGCAACCACCGACGGACAACAACACCGTGAGAATTGCACCGTTTGATGTGCGATCACTAGACTAACGCGAAATAGACCTCCACGCAGACTCCTCGTGAGTCCCTTGGCAAGCAGACACGTTCCCGCTCTGCCGCTATCACACCGCGACACTCCAAGCAGTACAAGGACGTCACCCAGAACCCAAAGTGCACGTTCGAAGAACTGTGTACCGCCTTCAAAGTTTTGAAGCCTCACCAAACCTTTGACGAGTACTATCTGGACGTCGCGAGCAAGAAGCCGCTTCCGTCACTTTCGAAAACTGAAGAGCACATACTTCTCCATGCACCCCGCGTCGTATCCGTTCTTGATTACGCCAGTAATATTCCTCTACCCGACATCACCAGCGACGAGGAATTCTCCGACGATTCGTCTGACAATTCGTCCGACGATGTGTCTCTATTCTCGTCGGTCAGCAGCTGTAGCACATTCACCACGGAGGCGCCAATGTCTCCTGAGTTTGACCAAGCCATTGACGGAGTAGAAGACTCCACCGAACTACACGACGTTGTCGGTGACGACAAGAGCACTCCTGCTGAAGTCAAAGCGCCTAATGGTGCAGTCTCGGCAGAGCAACCATCCTCCATTGAGCCTACAAGGGCCCCCGAGGATAAAGACGGTGCGACAGATCTGCCCGTTACCGAATACACCAACGAGGACGGCAACGATAACAACGGCGCCGTCCACGTTGCCGCCGCTGGTGTACATGAGACCCAGCCCCCCGCTCTCCAACCGACACACTCGACAGATACCACGAACCGCGATGTCAGTACCAGTGAGCTGTCAATCGTCTTTGGAGCAGCATCGCAAACCGAAGCGATGGAAGTCTGCATCCCAGAACCTACTCATTCTCGTCCGGTCGACTCTCAAAACATGCGGCCAGAGTTCAGCCAGATCATGGACGGAATAGAGTCACCGCGAGCTACTCGCGATACTTCCGGTACTGAACAGGACGATATGGACGATGTCCAAGTCACCAGTCGCGTGGATACCGAGGAGCAGAACATGGTTGACGCGCCCCCGCCTGAGAGCACTACTGAATCACGAGCGAGGTCCAGAGTCCAGGCAAACACAAGCAATCATTGGTGGAACGGCAAGGTCGATTATCTGCTGGAGTTGATTCCTGATCTTCACCTCGTTCTGCAAAAAGCTCTTCCAATGATGATTCAAGAGAGGCAGGCGAACCGGATTCCGGTCGAGATCCTTGACTATGTCAACAACGCAACATCTGCGAGAGGGCTTGGCAAGGCTCTCGAATCCGCCATGAAGAATAAGCTGTTGCATAACGCAGAGTTCAACAAGCTGGAGAAATACGCAAAAGGAGAGCGTGTTGTCATCCCAAAAGTCAGCAACTATCCTACAAAGGATACTGGCTCCTCCCCGACTGCTGCCAATGCTACTGCGCAGTCAGCTAGTCCTCCCGCTGCAGCTCAGACGTCGATCGTCGGCGCCTCTGTGACGGGTCCGAAGGCTCTCATACCAGAAGAGCCGACGACATCAGAGCCGGAGTCGATCAAAGAGCGATTCTCCAGACTCTTATGTAACGCACGGTTAGCCATGCGTAAACCCGACGACGACAACCCTGCCTTGAAGAAATTTCGAGGCCAATTTAATATCTCGTTCCAGAAGCAATCGGACATAGATGTTATGATAGATTATCTCATCAAGCATCCCCGATTCAAAGGACGCGATAGCAATGGGGGACCCAAAATCGACATGGAAAAGACCGTCGATATCATACAAGCTCTTTACGACGACTTAAATCCTCACGGTAAGGAACAAATCGTCTGGAGGTGCATGGAAGCTCTGGCCGCACAAGACGTGAAGGCGGAGAATGAGACACTCTCCGAGTTTATACGCTGCGCCCATCGTCAGAAACCTCTCGAGATGCTCTATCGAAGCATCTCAACGTCTAACTTTGCGCTGAAGGAGGCGGTGAATGGGGATGGCGCCCTCAGCTGGGATGACATGAAGGATCTCGCAAAGAAGGAAGAGCGCCAGTACTTCGAGGATAGGTCGAGAATGAACAATCTTCCGAAGTATCGGGAATATATGAAGGAGAGGGGGATCTATTGGAGCAACATGGCCAACATGAAGGGTCTGGTCGCTCAACAGGTGGCTGATCGGGATCCGGCTATGGGCCAAGTCCCCGCCGCAGATTGCGTTGGTGGGGCAGAAGCGGCAGTTCCCTTCAAGGGCAAGCGCAGCCTCGCTGACATTCCGCACGATGACGATGAGCAAGATTTGAAGCGGTTGCGAGAAGAGCCCGCTGAGCTCACTGAAGAGGAAGAGCGTGCTGCGAGGAAGAGGGGTGCACGAGGGCCTACTGACTCTGAGAGCAGCGAGCGCGTAAAACGGAGTCGTGACTGAGTTCTTGGGATTTAAAGATCGTGTCTTCGGATGAATGTCTTTTTCTGGTGTATCTACTGTTCTTGTTTCTGGTTCGCGTCTTCCGGTGAGAAGCTCCTTTCTTAGTTAGCTTTGTTTACTTGTTTTTTTTGCTACATGAGTGTTTGGTTAGAGATACCCCAGCGAATGAAATAGTGTGAATAGTCACAACGATGTTGTACTGTGCTGTATTACGAAAGTTGTCTTTTCTTCCACCTCTCCCGGTGAGGTCAATATCCAACTGCCATTCTCCATATTCTATCAGAACATACCCGACCCTCTATTGAACTCCACACCTCCTATCGAATGTCGGCGACGGTCAAGACAAATAGAAAATTATTGTCTTTGACTACTTTTACGCCTAATTATCGCCTGCCTCAGAGCCATCGTCATGGCCATACGCCCCAGCAAAGCTTCGCTCAATCCCAAACCGCATATGATCATCCGTCGCGTCGTAAGCAGTAGTGTCGGGTGCATGAGCACTTAGCCAGAAGCCTCTAATGTGGCAGAAGATAAGTCCCCTTCGTGTACGCGGATCAGCTAGCTCTCTGCTAGGCACGGTTTGTGGGTTACCGATCTGCGCTCCGTGATGGAATCGAGCTGCGCGCTCGCAGAAATCCATCGAGATATCATTCCTGATGCGCGTCTGTGGTGCTGCGTCCGGCATATCCATCCACGATCCCACGGACATAACCGGCGTGTTGAGCGACCGTAATAACCTCGCCACATCTTTGGCATCGTAGACGTCGTCTGGTTCGAGATTGTACTTGCAGTCTTGCGCCATCAGGACCAGAAGGAAATATAGGCGAGCTGCTGTACGAGGCCAAACGTACTTATGGTAAGACCTTCTCTCGCCCGGATTTGGATCAGTGCTTCGAGTCAGCATAAGCTCGTCGCATTGTTGAAGATCGCAGAATGCAACGTTCGCATTCGATCTCCCTAAGCTCTCGAAGCAGATTAAGGCGCGCCAAAGGATCGGATCGGGGATGGCACCGCGAGGGAATATGCGTGCAATTTGTATCATGTTTCGTGAGAGTAGCACAAATGGATAGTAGGTAAACCTTGGGCGAGTGTAACCCAAGAAGGTAAGACTTTGTGCCTTGTAGGCGTCTAGTTCCAGAGCCATGGTGGTGCGATCACGGTTGTCGTCCGGCAAGCCGAGCCCTTCGAGCAGATATCGGATGAGGCCAGTGATACGGGGAAGCCATGCGTCCACATACATCTCTCGTCCATCCGGCTCGAAAGCGTTTGCCATCTCTTTCCACAGCTTGACCAGAAATCCAGTGGAATCGCATATGTTGAGCAGACGCAGTAGGCAACCTCGCAAGTGGCGGTCCTGCAAGGCTTCAAACTGATGGCGTGGATCAGCCATAGTTGGCGGGTCGGGTTCGTAATCAGAGTAATCGTTAACAACGGACTCGTAATAAGATTCATTCTCCCAGTCCCGTTCAGAATAACCATCTTCAGAATTCGAAACAGGAAAGACCTCGTCATCTTCAGAATCAGAAACAGGAAAGACCTCGTCAGAATCAGAGTCAGACTCCGCCCCAAAAAGAATGCTTCTGCACTGTGGACACGTGCCCTTGCTGTCCGACCGTTGCAGCCACGTCTCGAGGCAAACCCTTCCGAACACATGTCCACATGCGCGAATTTGATGCGGCCAGTGAGCGTTGTCGAATGGTTCTCTACAGATGTTGCATTCGGCGCGCTCGAGCCCGTGGGCGAGGAAATCGTCGCGATCGCTGAACGTGAGCGGGTTCATTTCGGGGAACCCCAGCGTCGGTGAAGGACTGTAGCTGAGTCGAGTGTGGGTGCGCTGGCGCTTGTGTCTTCAGGGACAGATAGGTATTGCGGAAGGGTGGCAAGCGTTGCGACTCTCGCCTCTTTGTCAACAAGCACAATGTTTTATTTTGACTGGGTCATCAGTTTCGTGTGTTGAACGTCACGCGCTTCTCGCGAACTACAAAAGGCCATAGCGTGGATCAGCAAACGCGGCGATGACGTAGAGGGATACTGGTGGTTTTTGTGAAGTTGTATTGATCATAACATTGAAAAATCGAATGCTAGGACGCTGGAAATAATGAGAACAAAACAGGTATGTACGATACTGACTGAACGCCATGTATGCTATGCGACCAGCCAATGACGGCGCCGAATGCGAATCGCCCAAATGCATAAATCTAGCTGCCGGCGTGGCCTGTAGGACCTTGGGAAGTGTCTGCAGGATATTAGCGTTGTGTTCACAACCACTCTTCTCTCGATTAGGATACTCACAATCCATAGTGACAAAAGCGCGGTCCACCTCATTCAGACCTTCCAGACAATACTGCAGGGTCTCCGCAATGTCATGGCATTTCCTCAACGGCGTCTCCTCTTTCATGAGCACATCGATCTCAACACAGACACCATCACCCGCATGGTAGCACTTCAGACTCTTGAAGCCTTCGACGAGGGGCGAGAAGCGGTATGCCATGTACATCATCTTGCGCTCCACACGGTCGCTGGCCTGCTCACCGGTCAAACGGGTGACGTTCTCGAAGCAAGTGCAAGCCCAGTCGTAGATGATGAAAAGCGAAAGGCAAGCTGCGCCGAGGGGATCGAGCCACCAGACGCCGACGTGGCCTCCAATGAGCGGGAACAAGAGGGAGAGCGTGTTAAAGATAACGTCTGATTTTGTCAGTTATTGCATTTCAAGAGGCGAAGGGAATGAGCCTACCAGTCTTGCAGTCTTGGGCCAAAGCCTGTACTTGTGTTGTCTTGACCCTTGCGCATCCTACCCAAATGGTACCCTTGACAACGATTGTAGCCACCATGGCGAAAATGGCAGCTGGTGGCAATTGAGACACACTGTGATCGCCGCTTGGTAAGAGCTTCTTGACTGATTCTTGCAGAATCTGGAGGAACGATATGACCATGAGAATGGAGAAGACCAGAATACCGATTGGTTCGAGGCGTCGGCGGCCAATAGGAAACTTCTTTCGCAAACCCTCCACACGCCAGCTTACAAGCTTGTTGGTAGTCCAGATGATGACGGTGCAGAGCAAGTCAAGGGCCGAATCGACGAGGGATGCAATCAGGGAGAGGGAGCTAGACCAGATGGCTGCTACACCCTTGGCCGCGAGGAGAAGGATATTTACGATCACGTTGATCTGTACCATGTTAGCTGGTGAAGGCTTGCTTCAAGTTTGGGACCTACATTGATCGCCCATCTCGCGTGCTTAGCGGACTTTGCTCGCTTGTTGCGCTCCTCCTCGGGTAGAAAAGGTTCCAAGTCCTCTCCGCTGTTACCCAATGGCCCCCGGTCTTCTGCCACGCCGTCGCCATCGACATCTCGCGGGTTCATACTATCGACGATGTCGTCGGCGAGTGAAGAAACAACCATGTCGACTTCGGCCCAGTCGTCTAGGCGCTCGTTCTGCTCCTCGTAGAAACCGCGTACCTTCTTGTTCTTTATAGATTTGAGCTGAGGTTGGGTGTTAGCATCTGTATAAGCAGTTCGATCGTTTGCAACATACGCTCTCGTCACTCTTCCTGTAGATTTCGAGCGCTTCATGGTCGATGTTGTCGATCAACTTCTGTTTCATTTCATTGGCGCGGTTGTCTTTGACGGTTTGTTCAATCGCATCGCGAAATCTACGCTTCGGCTTGACGGGGGTAATCGCTCCATATCCGCTTTCCAGGTCGACGCGCTGGTACTTGCTGAACTGTTCGACATTGTGGCGACGGCTGACATTGCCGTTGCTGTTGTCGTGGCTGTTGAGAACGTTGCGTCTGCCTCCAACCATTTTGTATGACTTTCGGGCCTTTTAGGGGCTCTGGGGTATCGTTGTGAATGGGAGTAAGGAAGAGGATGCAGGCAAGGTTTGACAAGAGAGACAAGCATACAAGAGGGAAGACGCGACGCGCTGTCAAACCCTGGCAGCCAAGGTTCCGAGACTTGGAGGGCGCCAATGCGTAATAGCGCTGGAGAGCGCATCATAAATTGGATGCGCCATACTCGATCTGGTGGCGTCCATGCATAAGACGGAGATTCTTGGTGGTGCTTGCTCCAGCTTGCGACAAAAGGCGATGGAAGGATGCTATGACATCACTCCCCTAGCGTCGCGTGGAGGACGCGATCTCGGCACCTCCGCGTCCGCCTTCATCGCGTTGGGTGCTTGGCAGGTACCACTGCTGCACATCACCCCGCAAGACCATGCGAGCCGTCTTTTCTTTTGGGTTAGATGCAGCTGTTCCTTCTATTCGCACCATGGAAGTTGCTCTACGAAAAGGAATATCGATGGAGGCATATCATGAAGCGGTGCGTTGACGTCACGTCAAAAACCGGATGGCCATCAACACCAACGCCGTTGAAACACGTTCCGGCCATCGAGTGTGCCGCTTAGCCGGAAGGCCCGAACCATACATTCGGTATACTTACCTGGAACAACACTCCAGGGACAGTAGAAAACGACATTCGCTCCATTCGATAGGAAACTTTTGTCTCACCTATGAGTTCGCTTTCCGGATAAAACCCGTATAGATCTGTCCGGCGCGGACCGACCTCGGCAGCCTTCCAGGGTCACATAACGCAGCTTTCCGACCACGCTTGGGTCACGTGAGACATCCTTCATCCGCATTGGACCATCGTCGAACGCCCCGGGTTCTGTGATCTTCTCGTCGTTGCTTTGCGATAACATCGGCACGCTACAGCATCGCCTGATGATGAAGAGGTTGCTCAGACAGCCACGGCCAAGCAGCAATAGGCCCACCGGGCCTTGAGCCGCTTTACATAAGCAAGCCCCGCAAGTAATAGGTGTCCGTATTCTCCGTATTGAGTTTAATAGGAGGGCGAAGCTTGCCAAGTGAAGCCGAGCACTTACGCGGGACGACGAATAAAACCAAACATGTCTGCCACTACACAACAGGTGTCCTGAGTGTCAGCAACAGCCCAGCATGGCAACATCAACAGCAAACGTCGGCCGCCCAAACAACAATGCGCTACTGGCTCTCATGGCCGTGTTGGCCGCGCTCGGGTTCTATACCATGCGCATCACGACCGCGATGAACGATATTCCTGTGGGCTTTCTAGAAACAGCAGCGTCGGGCGTTTTCCCAAATGGTGTGCCTATCAAGAAGGACTACACGGGCATTCACTTGGTGGACGAAGGTCTGTCTTTCCTGGTGGCTGCCTTTCTAGCCGGCCCGATGCGATGGAACGAGCCATATTATTGGCAACAACTCTACTTCCTCATTCAAATCTCGGCCCTTGTCACAATCAACAATGTTGAGGCGTACCGGCAGCGAAACCAGAATAGCTGGCTGAAATAGTAAGTCTGCAAATGTAGGATTTGGCGAAACCAAAGGTAGCTGACATTATGCAGTATTTCCATCTGGGCCTTCGTCTATCAGAATGTTGGAGCAGCTTGCATCGTCTCTATCTGGTGGCTACTCCTCCATCGCGTCTCGCAGCCCAAAGCCTACTTTGAGAGCGGACGCACTGTCCCGTTGCCTTACGCGCGGGTGATTTTACCGGGCGTTTTCCTATTCTACGTTGTGCCCACCGTCGCATTGTTCCTTCCCGACCAAAGCGCAGACAGGATGCAAAAGCTCCTAGCATTCTGGCAATTCACACCCATCCTTAGCGGCATCCCCATGTGGCTCGTCTCCCTCTCCGGTACCCCGACAACCGTTACCGCGAGCAACAGGAATGCGGATGTTCGACATCTCAAAGTTCTCTACGCTCTCCTCTTCGTTCTTTGTGTAGCAACTCATTGGTACGCCATCCGTGGCATTTCCCTATCGACAGACCCCGATGTTACGTATGCCCGCGTCTTCCTACCCAGCACCTATACCTGGAAGAGGAACGCTGATTGGGGTTTGCTGTTCATCTTCCAGTGGGATTGGCTCATCATCGGACTAATGTACATCATCCCGTCTTGGGTCGCGGTGTGCGATGTGCAGCGGATGAGGAACGGAGAGGCTACGCTCGAAAATATCTTTGAGAGCTTTCTTGTTATTGCGGCACTGACAGGTGGTGGTGGCCCGGGCGCAACGCTTGCCGCTGTCTGGTTCTGGCGAGAGGCTGCATTGGCGGACATTGAGATTGCATCGGGGGCGAAGAAGGTGCAGTAATTGCGGAAATCGAAAGGAAGTCGCTAGGAAGATCAGGACGCATTACCGATTGTGGACCACTGGTGACGAAGAGCAGAGTAACCATCAAGCCTATAGCTATCGAGAGTTCGATCCAGCATCCCAACTACCTGTATTACCTATGCCAATATTGGCTGCTATTCATTCGTCTAATTCCCTTCTGTCACATCCATAACCCCAAACCCCCCTCCTGCCAATCTCATTGTCCTCAACACCAGGATCTTCTAAGATTATTCATCCAAATTCAGCGCCAACAACGCGGCTTCTTGGTCGTCTGAGGTCCCAAACGCTACCGTTTGCACCAAGTCTCTCCACCTTTCAGCCTTGTCGACAATAACAAGTAGCCGTGCGTCTGACACCCGGACATCTGAAGGGGTTGCAGGTGCGATCATTTGATTTTGCTGTAACATGGTGTAAAGTCGCTGCAATGGTGATGAATGCTCGTTCTCGTTGTTGGTTCCTTGTACTAATGCACGAACAAATCCGTTTACAATTGCTGACATATAGGCTTGTGTCTCTGCTACCTGTGTTGACGGTATAGGTGGCATAAATGCGTCAAGTAGCAACTGTGCTATCTCTCCAATCGCAGTCGTGAGTCGGCCTATATTTCGAGAGACATCATCGGGTGAGAGTGGTGTAGACATAGCGTTGGTCGATGACATGGTAGATGATAGTTAGTGGTGACCATGATGTGTTCTTATATATCCACGTGAAAAACTTTTGTTTGCTTCACGAAGCCATACAAGAGATGGGCGGAAGGTTCTCATGACTAGGTACGAATTTACTCACACCCTCAGCGTGTGATTAGTAGAGTGGGGTCAGCTGGCAGGATGATAACTAATATTCAGAATAAGGGTACTCGCCCAGGTGCTTTCGACTCCAAACATTGAAGCTAAATACTCGCAAAACTTTGACGAATTGTTTTCATCGTTGAAATACCTTATGGTCGTGACAGTAGCGTGGAGTACGTCTCCTTCACATCCCTTAACAGCGGTGACTCTAGGACCTTCTCCCAGTCCTCTTCAAGAACATTCTGCAACGTAATAACACCAACATCAACGAGCGACCTAGTCTCTTCCTGACCAGACCATGCAATCCTAGTCGGCCAGAATGCAATGTGAACTGCCCAATGCACCACCATCCTCATTAGCCACGCCTTGCCGAGCACCTCTGTATGCCCACGAGCTGCGATATATGCATTCAAGAACACACGGAGTAGCCCTCTACCACCTCGAAAGCGATCAAGAAGAAATGCCTCAGCAGCGAATTGACCGACATCCGTTGCGCTGGTGCCACGACGCACCATCTCCCAGTCCACGATGGTCAGCTCAACCGGCTGCAACTCAGCATCACGGACGAGGATGTTTCCAGGCCAGAAGTCGCCATGGCAGATGCACTCGTCGTCTGTTGCGAGTAGACTGCCGAACTTTTCGTTGACGAGAAAAGCGAGCTGGGGGTCGTGACCGAACTGCGTCAACGCGGTGTGCAGATCGTTGTAAGAGTATCGGTATACGTTGACAGCAATGGGGTTGTTTCTGCTGTCTTGTCCTTCGTGCGCTGAAGCGAGCGAGAAGTTCCTTGCTGCAGTGTGCAGTGTAGCGAGCCATGTCGCAAGCTGCTCTCCAATGTACAATATGTCGAGCTTCGGGTCTGTATAAGCGTCCTTCAAGTTGCGACGCCCGCCATCTTCGATTTCAAGCAGCTTTTCTGATTGATCGTAGCTCGAAAACCTCGCCGGGCGTACGTTCGAGGTGGTAGGGCTCGTGGGTAGAGGACTCCTCCTGGAAGATAGTGCTTCTAGAATCCGGACCTCATAATCCATGCGGGCAGGATCGAGTGCAAAGTCCTTGTTGAATTTCAGGACAGGCTCTGCGTGTTTGAAGATGCTCGTGGAGCCGTCGTGCTTTGTGACGCGGAAGACGTAGTTTGCATTGCCTCCTGAGAGGAGCTGCACGCTAGTTGCTGGGAATTGGTTCGCTTCGAGGTATTGCTGAAGACCCTTCTCATCAGTAAGATCGTAAGAAGTCATGCTGGTACGTCGATATTACTACACGGGGTTGACCGGCGTGTGTGGTGCAGACCCTTGAACGCGTTAGGGGTGGCTGGGAAGCAGGATGAGGCAGCCACGGCGCCTTTTGTACATCATCGCTGCACGGTATTCCGACGTCGGCAGTCATTATGGGAGTGCAAACCTGCGAGACCATACGTAGTAGCGACATGATACAAAATGAGTCATTTTGCAAGAGCTGCCCAGTGGAGGACCTCCTGGGCATCGACGGGCCGGATGCACGAAAGTGGGGAGTTGCGGGCTAGGCCGAGAACGGGCTAGCCTCTGTTCGCAGCTGCTTTCACCCCGTAAGGCACCCATTCACACATTTTACCCCGCTCCAGACCATATCTCCATCACACTCGCATCCACTGATGTCGCAAAGATGCACACGGAAGAGCGTCAGCTATTCCATCTCACCATGATTCGACCGTACCTATCTTAGCTGCTTGCCTTTTGCTGCGCTTGTTCATGTTATGTATCATTTTCGACTTACCGGTCAGCCCGACCCGCAAACACTTCCGCCTTCGCTATGGAGACACTCTATCCGACGCGTTTGTCGAGTAGCCAGATCCGTCTGCTACACATACTACCCTCTGCAAACCCCGAGTCCCCAATATCCTGCGAGCTTCACCAGTATGAGGTCGACGAAGTCCCCGCGTACGAAGCGCTCTCTTACTGCTGGGGCGACTCAAACGATCGACGGCAGATAATTTGCAACGACAAAGCTTTTTCGATTACGGCAAGCCTCCACGATGCACTTGAGAGGTTGCGGCCGATGAACGAGGCTCGAGTTATTTGGGCAGATGCACTTTGCATCGCTCAGTCTGACGACGAGGAGAAGAGCTCGCAGGTACGTCGCATGGATTCGATCTACTACCGCGCCAAACGCGTCGTTGTTTGGCTTGGCCATGTCTCGACTGAGCACGCATCAAACATCAAATCTCTTTTCGAATCCTTGGAATTGGTCGATGGTGACCCAAATGACCACAATTCCAATTGGCGTATAGCGAACTCAGGCGTAACTTCCGACACTTCCTTACCATCGATGTCACTAAAAGTGTTCTTCGACAATCCTTGGTTTCGTCGCATGTGGTGTATACAAGAGATCAGGTTAGCTTTTGATTCGGTTTTCTACTGGGGAACCGAAGAACTCTCCAAGTATACTGCAGTACGCCTAGCAGGCTGGAGGATAAGTCATTATCAAGATCAAGGGCTCGCCTTAGCTACAATCCCCGTAACTTATGCCTGGAGAATGAACGGACCATTGACGTCGGACAAATGTCGTCTTCTACAAGCTCTTAGCACTTACAGGCGTTGGCATGCTGCGGATCCTCGAGACAAGGTATATGGCATACTTGGGCTGGCGGAGCTTGGTGAGGAAAGGGGTATTGTTCCTGTTGACTACGAAAAGTCTGCCGCAGAGGTTTTCCATGATGTTGCCACTGCGATTATCAGATGGACTAGCGGTCTTGCAATCTTTGCCCACATCCACCATGATGCGGACTATGACGACCATCTAGACTACGAGTCTTGGGTTCCTCAATGGGATCAGTGGCAGCCTGTACCACATGAACAGATGATGGGCGGGCTGTCCCCTACGTCCAGCGCATACGGAACATATAAGTTTACTGCGCCGAACGAGAGTATCACACAGCCACGTGGCCGGAAACTCGTGGTACATGGTTCAGTATATGGAAGTGTTTCTTCCACAACCATATTGCAAGAAAGTTTTTCAGACCTCAGCTATGTAGGTCGACTTGGAAGTACGAAGATTATTCTGGATTACCCGGTCGATATACTTCTCGACTACTGGCGGCAGGAGGTATCCGAAGAAGCCCCAACGGGCAGCGATCTGAGTCCCGCCATGATCTCTATGGCACGAACATTGACTGGAGGACAGGTCAGACATACCGTCAATTACTACCAAGCGAGAGAAGAAAACGTGACGGAATATTTACAGAGTTTCTTGGATTGGATTAGACTGTTATATACAATTTCTAAACATGTAACAGAAGATGGCACAATCATGTACGATTTTTGTGAAGCTGGAAGTGGTTGGAAAGTCTTTGGAGCCTTCCTGTCCCGCTTCTTCCATCGATGGGCACTGTTTCGTATCAAGGACGGATCTTATGGCCTCGGACCTGTCTGTCTACGAGAAGGAGATCTTATCGTGGTTCTGGAAGGAGCATACACGCCAGTTGCGCTACGCCCCCGGGGCGAGAACTACCTTCTTCTAGGTCAGGTGTACAAGGACGAGATCATGCAAGGGGAGTTGATCGAGGAGATGGAGAAAGGAGTTCGGAAACGACAGCATTTCTTTCTCGTCTAATCTACGGGATTCAAGCAAAGATCGCAAAACAAGGAGTACCATCGCCGCCCTCCTCAATGCTTCCGCAAATACAAAACCGCCCACCCCAACAACCTATACACCACAACAATAACCAGCAAATACCCCACGTACTTCCCCGTATGCCCCGTTCCAAACCCATAAACCGCCAGCACCGCCTTCCCATCCACCAAACACTGATCCTGCAACGCACTCGGATACATACACTGACACCCCCCGCCCTCCAACCTCTCACACTCATAACTCCTCTTCCCAAACTCATTCACCATCATGCCCCTAAAGACATACGCCTGATAATCGATATAATGAAAAACATACCTCCAAAACACATTCAGCGTATCCGGCTGAACCATAAACCCATTCACACACATCCAAAGGCCATTCGCAAACGCCGTCGCCGCCAGCGCAACAACAAAGATGGGTATGAGCGACGAAAGAAGAACGACTAGAGACTCCGCGGCGAGTAAATCCAAAAACAACCACAGCACCCACATCCAAAACCCGTCGGCCCCGGGCCGGAAATTGCCGAGCCAGTAACTCACCACACTGAACAGTATGGTGATGAGAAAGAGGTACGGCACGCCCACGACAAAGTTACTCAGCATAAACGCCGTGGGGCCGTACAGTCCGTTCGCGCGCTCTTTGCTGTATATGGCGAGGTCTTCGAGGTACGCGGGGATGTAGGCGACGGCCATGAAGGACATGAAGGCGCCGCCGAAGAAGATGGCGTTGGTGAAGGCTTGGATGTTGGATTGTGTCGGGGAGAGGCGCAGCCAGACTGTGCCCATCATTATCGCGAGGCCGAGGTACATGGCTATGCGGATGCCGTAGGCGACGATGTCGCGGTGGGATTTTAGGAAGGAGCGGTGGGTTAGGGTTAGGGTGGTGTGGAGGGGGGAGGCGTGGGTTTTGGCGGAGGCTGGAGAGGATGTGATGGGGATAGATGAAGCTGTTTCGGTGGCGGCACGGATATTGGCGGTTAGAGATGCGGAGGCGGGGGAGGTAGCCCAGGAGGTGTGGAGGTGGGTGAGGCGTTGCTGGGCGGTGGTGCTGTCATGCGAGAAATCCGTGTTGATGAGGTCGATGACGAATTCGGCTGGGTTCGTGTAGAGTGGCATCTACACACAGGGTGACATGTCAGCTCCTTGCTCCTTCAATACTGTACGATAATGGAAAGAAAAACAGAACATACCTCATACCCCAACCCCCCAAACCACCCCTTCACCCCCTCAACCCCGCCATTAAAAACCACCTTCCCCCCACTCAACAACATCAACCTATCAAACAACCTCCACGTCGCCGTAGACGGCTGATGAATACTCGCCACCACCAAAATCCTATACTTCTTCGCTATATCGCGCACAAACTTGATGACTTCATAGGCCGCCGCCGAATCCAGGCCACTGGTCGGTTCATCCAAGAAAAGGATTCTGGGGCTAGTGATGAGTTGGCTGGCGACGCTGACACGCCTTTTCTGGCCGCCGGAGACGCCTTTGCGGATGGGGGTGCCGATTAGGGTATTGGATTGGGGGGTTAGGCCGAAGTGAGTGAGGAGGGAGGTTATGAGGGTTTTGCGGGAGGAGGTGGATATGGAACTAGGGGTGGTGAGTGAGAATGCTTTGGGATAGGGAGGGGCCATGTCGATTACCTTGGGAGGGCGAGCTGAGCAGCGAAGTAGAGTGTTTCGCGGACGGTGAGAGAACCGATTAGGGCGTCTTCTTGCTCGACGTAGCTGCTTAGTTTGCGGAAGGAGGATAGGGTTGTTGGGGCGCCGTTGACACGGAGGGTTTGCTGGATGGTGGCTTTGGGTATGGCGGCTCGGTGGGCGAGGATGTTGAGGAGAGTTGTTTTACCGGAGCCACTGTGTCACTTTCGTTAGGTATCTGTATGTGAGGCTGGGATGCTGTGGACGTACCTTGGACCCATCAATGCCATCATCTCTCCGGCTTCGATCATGCCGCTCACATTGGATAGGAGATCAAGTGGCTGTTTAGACGTCCTATCTTTGACCGTGACAGTGATGTTCTCCCAGCTGAAGCTTTTGACTTCATCGTTGGCCAGATGCGCATAGTCAGTGCCTGAAGCAGCCTTCTCAACGTCCTCCGCAGTACTAGCTGAAGACATGACTGAACCCGCGAACCTGATCAATACTCCGTGACACCTTTGTTTTGGGTGGGAAGCTAAGTGAAGGTACACTTATTGCGCACGAAATCCGTAAGAGCTAGCCAAGTACAATCCAACAAAGAAAGGGCAGCCCGCACGCATATAACATGCGTCTGCCCCCCGATACACTCACGCCCCCAAACCCCGACAGTCCACAGCCCGCTGCGAAGACCCCGACGGTCCGATATCACAGACTGTCATCGGCGACAACAATCAATCCAGGTCACGGTAAGGGGTGGCCTGAAATCTGCGATATGCGGCGCTGAGATCTGCCACCTCACATGCATGCACACCTCAGGTAGGAAAGACCCTTACACCATCTCCAGTGAGATCAGCATAATCTTGTGGCTGAAAAGTTGTCTTCCAACGGGTTTCTGCACGCCTGTATCGAACGGTTCTAAGCGAGTGTGGGTGATGAAGCGTGGCGTGCAGAAGCGATGATGAATGGTATGTGGGTGTTGTGTTTGTG